CACCATGCCTAGCTCCCGGAAGGGTTTTAATCAGGGTTTTCATCCAGCATGGGATGGAGGACCCTGGGGAGGAGAAGGTTGTTTTCAGGACAAGGTCTGAAGAGGCTGTCTTCCCCAGGGATACACCCTTTTCAGAGGAGATTCCAATTATCCTGGAAAACAAAGTAATTGCCATTCATCTTCTTCTCAGAATTAAAACCTCAGCTGCTTTGTAGGAGCAAAAGGTACCTCTTGAAGCACCTCCTCCTCACTCAGAAACGCTAACAATGCAGGGAGCCCTCAGGTAATTCCCAGCTGTTGTTAAGTTCAAGTCATTTTTTTTTTTTCCTAGTTTTTTGAGACAGGATCTCACTGTGTAGTTCAGACTGGCCTCAAACTCACAGTGATCTTCCTGGCTCAGCTTCAGAAGTGCTGGGATTACAGGTGTGTGCCACCACACCTGGCCTCAAATCATTTTCTATGCAAGATACGGATTTTTTTGCTATGTTGTTCAGGCTGGCCTTGAACTATGTAGTCCAGGCAATCCTCTTGTCTCAGCCGCCTGGGCACCAGGACTACAGGTGTGCACCACACGCCCAGTTTCAACAAATATTTATTGAATACCTACTATGTGCCAAGCATTCTTGTAGATGCTAAGGCTATAGGAGAAAATGAGGCAAAGCTCCCAGCCTTCACAGGGCAGGCGAGTATGTAGGTGAGCATGAAAATTTGACATGCTGCATGGCCCAGCGTGTGCCCTAGAAGGAAAGGCATTTGAGACAGTGAGCTTTGGGCAGGGGAGATGCTTTGACTTTTGAAGTAGGCAGAGTCCTTGGTAACGAAAACCTAAAAGAAGTAAAGAATCTGCCAGAGCTGGAGTCTAGGTAAAGCCAGGTCAGGGCCGGGGTGGTGGCAGAGGCCCTCGTGAGGGAGAGTGGGGACCCAGAGACTGGTGACAGACAGGGGAGGATCTGCCCAGTCCTTATTTGTTTGACCATAACTGCACTGTGCAGATAGATGTGCAGTTTATAATTCTCTTGCACATCTGAGGACAAAGAGAAATGGTTCGCTGCTAACATGGTAATTCCTGCATTCTATTCCCTATGCATTGTTAGAAGTCTCAAAGGGCTGAGATAGTATCTCCTGTTGATGTGGGCACAGCCACAGCAAAACAGACCCTGGCGGGGGGGGGGGTGTTCTTTGACACAGTCTCTGCCTTTGTAGTGCAGAGATCCTCTTGCCTCAGCCTCCTGAGTGCACTACCATGCCCAGCTGGGTTTCCTCTTCAGTTAAAGCAATACTGGACTCTGCCCTCCCCCAGGGAGCGCAAGAAGAGCAGCCTGGTGCATCCAAGGGTACGAATTAGGCCCAATCTGTCATTGAGTTTCTGGCATGAACATGACACTTATTGAAGAAACCAGACAGCTGCTTGAAGGAGCCATAGCGGAGGGAACCAAGAAAACACAAGCAATGACAAAAAGCTGCTGGTCATGTGTCCTTACTGTAGTCCAGCTGGCACATTCTGGTGTTGGCGGTGGGGACCTTGGGGGCATGTGCCTGCCTTGGCCTTAGTGGACAGGACTGAGTTAAGGTGGGATGCAGCCTGTGGGGCCAGCCAGTCTGAATCCCCTCCCTGGCGAGCAGGACAGGCAAGAGCCTAGCACAGCCCTGCTGAATGCTCACATGCTGAGCTTCCACAGCCTAAATACACACTCATGGAATGCTCGACCCCAGGGAGGCTGAAGCAGGAGGATGGGGGTGACTTTGAGGCCAGCCTGCGATACACAGTGATATGTTCAAGGCCAGCCTGGATTATACAGTGAGACCTGTCTCAAAAAACCAAAAGCAAACCAAGAAAGAAATTTTCAATTCTCAAATCATGTACCTCTCTGCCAGATTCAAGAATGTCCATGAGTACTGATAATTAAGAAAAAGTTGGACTTCTCTTTAGTTGCAGCCTTGAGCAAGTGCCAGTCTTTCCCTTCCTTTCTGGTAAGGTAGAGGGGACAGGACGCTGGGACACAAAAAAGGCCCTGAAGAGCCTAACGTACAGACGGATATTAGGTTTTTTGAGACAATTTCGCTATGTAGCCCAGGGTGGCCTCAAACTCATGGCGACCCTTCTGTGTCAGTCTCCCTAAATGCTGAGACTACACAGGTGCACTACCACACCTGGCTTTGTTCTTTTTTTTCAGAGCTGGGGGTGGAACTCAGGGCTTCATGCATGCTAGGCCACTAATCTTCATTAGGTTCTTTCTTTCATGGTACTGGGGAATGAACCCAGGGCTATTACCCTGAGTGACATCCCCAACTCTAACTTTATATTTATTTATGTTTTTGAGACAGGGACTCACTGCATATTCCAGGTTAGCCTTTTACTTTTTTGATATTGGTGATCGAACTCAGTACCTTGTGCTTTCGAGGGAGGCAATGGCACCACTGAGCTAAATTCCCGGCCCTGGCCTTTTATTTTTCGAGTCAGAGTCTTGGTAAATTGCTAAGTTGCCCAAGCTGTGCTCAAACTTGATCTCCTCCTGCCTCAGCCTCCCAGCTTCTCCTCAGCTGGAATTAGTCTTGTGCCATCGAACACAGCTCTTATCAGGTTTTTAATGTTCTCCTTTCCTCTACCTCATCCAAACAAAAAATATTAAATTCTTGCCAAATCCTGCCGGCATATTTTAAATCATTGCTTGTTCCAACTTTAATGTGACCAGCTGGGGGTGGGGAGCTGTTCAAGGGCAGGTTCTGGTTTGTGCAGTTGGGGTGGGAAAAAAATTCTGTTCCCAACAAGCTTCTGGGTTGGGCTTACCTGCTAATGAGGGGGTAGTGGTAGTGGTCATTTTCTGAATAGCAGGAATATGACGTAATTCTACTACTTAACACAACCATCCAACAGAAGTCCTCATGAGGGGTTGGAAGACAATTTTTTTTTTTTTTGAGACAGGGTCTATCTATGTAGTCCAGGCTGGTCTTGAACTCATTATGTAGCCCAGGCTAGCCTTGAACTCACAGTGACCCTCCTGCCTCAGCCTCCTGAGTGCTGAGATTACAGGTGGGTGCCACCAAATCCAGCAAGACATTTCCTTTTATTTATTTATTTTTTTGGTTTTTGGACAGAGGATCTCACTATGTAGTTCAGGCTGGCCTTGAACTTGCAACAATCCTCAGCCTCCCCAGTGCTGGGATCACAGGCGTGCACCCCCAGGCCCTGTCCAAAGATACCTTTCAATTCACCCTTCCACCTAGTTTCACGGTCCTGAGCCTGCAGGCATCCAGCACCGTGATCCTTAGGTCTTTGAAGGTTCACAGCATCTTCCCGGAGGAAAACCTTGCAATTCTCTCTCCACCTCTTTTGCCTTTTTGATCTTACCTTTTGCCTGTGATGATAATTACCCTTTAATTAGTACCCACCACCAAGTCATCTAAATAATTATAGTAAGTGAAGTCCTTGCCTTTGCCAGAGATCTTTGAACAAAAGATAAACGAGATCTTAAGCTGATTTGTAAAAAATAAAAACAAACTGATTCAAATAAACCAGCGGGAGGCAGATTTGTTCTAATTTTCATTCCTGTAAGGAAAAATTGATTTATTTTGGAACAATTAAGAGAAAATACTAATGTAACATTAAGGAAAATGTAAATGTCAAAATATAAATTTTGCAATCAGTCATGTAAAAGCAACTCAAGCATGCTAAAATCCACCTTAAATACTTAATAGGAAGGCCTCAGGGTTTGTGTTTCTTGTATTTATTTGTGGTGCTGGGGATCCCAGGACCTCTTGTTTCACCACTACACTATACCCTCAACCTGAACAATTTTTTTCTTTATTCGGAGTTTCTCCCACTATTCTGGGGGTAGCTTGAACTTTCTAGGTGTATGCAAAACAAATTATCCAGTTGTGGAAGAAGAGGTGGGTTTTTCACTGAGAGCAATTAGTTGTTTTCTAATTTCCCAGGTGGGTCTCCATTAACTGCCTACCAAACATTAAGGCTGTGGGAGCCCCAAGAATCGCGCACCTCTCCTAGGGGTAACTGTCCTCCTCTTCACAGCGCTGTTTTCCCACGGTGGCCTTAGGAAAACTCCAACCAACCTAACAGAAAAAGTTTACTTTTCTCAATTAGGTGGTGTATATTGACGAAGAAGGTGGGGAGAGCTGGACAGGACTCTACAGCGAAATCAATCAATCCTTCCTTCCAACATCCATCACCTCCCTGTGCTCCAAAGAGGCAATCGCTAGTTTATTTATTTGGTACCGGGGATCGAATTCGGGACCTTGCGCTTGCGAGGCAGGCGGCGGAACCACTGAGCTAAATCCCCGGCCCCCCTAGTTTATTTCTTTAGACTTTATTATTATGGAAAATTTCAGAAGCAGAGAGACTGTAACGATCCCACCGCACGCATCCCAGTGTCATCAATGAAAACCATCCCAAAGTTTAGTGTAATCCCCCCACCTGGTTTCCCTAGGCATGTTTTAAGTAAATCGCAGACATTAGAACATTTTTACCTGCACACGCTTTAGTATATCTTTTAAAAACACTTCGCCTCACATTACCGCACCCAAGCCTGCGACGTGCGGGGTCCTGGGTCGCTGTTGCCCGGCTGCGGGGGCGAACGCTGGGCCCCACGCCTCGGGATCCTTCCCCGAAGCTCCTGGCCCCGGCCCGCAGGCTTCTGCTCCCGCCGGCGGCCCCAGAGGCCCTGCGCAGCTGCACCAGCCACCTTCCCCAGACGCCGCCGGGTCCCTGGAGGGGAAACGATTGACACAGCTGCGTGCACTGCGCCTCCGGGCACCCCAGTGGCACCTGCGTCTCCCGGTGGTGCCGAGGCGCGGAAACCGGCTCCGGACATAGAGTAGGCCCTGCTCGCAGTCCCTGCGGCTCCAGCCTCCCGCTTGTTCTCTCGCGCGCGGGACTCCCGGCCCCGCGACCTCGAGCGCCGCGACTACAACTCCCGTCTTGCCCCGCGGCCTGGCCAATGGCGGGCGGCGGCGCGTGCGGGGTGCGGCGCGTGCGCGGCGGTTTTAGTAAGGGGCCCCGCGATTGGCTGCGGGGTCGGGCGCTGCGCGGGGCCTGTGGGAAGCGGAGTGACGGAGCGAGCGGCTGTTGGAGGAAGGAGGTGGGGGCCGGGAGCGCAAATGGCGTTGAGATGGTTCAGGGCCCTGTTCAAACTCCAGCGCTGACCATTCACCGGCGGAAGCGGCGGCGCAGGAGGCGGCGGCGGCCCAGCAGGGGCACGTAGCGGGCTCGCCGGGTCCGGCGGGCAGGGAGGCCTAGGCCCGGCCCGGCCGGCGGTGCTCGCGGCGGGGAGGGAAGTTGCGGGGCCGCCGCTCCTCCCCCTCGGCTGGGCTTCATATTTACCGGAGCGGAGTCGCGGGCCGTGACGGTGGCGGAGCCCCTGGCCGGCCCTGTGCTCCTGCGCCCGCGGGCCGAGGCCAGCGCTCCCGCCGGCGCCCAGGGTGAGTGAGGCGGGCGGCCGCCTAGGCCCGGGCGGCGGGCGGGCTGGGAGGCCAAGGCGGCGGAGGTGCCAGGGAAGTTGGGCCGGCCAGCGACCCGAGGAGTCTTCCCCTCTTCCGTTCTCCTTCCTCTGAGTTTCTCAGAGGGCGCCTGCCCGCTTCCCAACTTCCCTCCTGACCCTGGTCCGAGGCAGCGATTCCCTTCCTGAGCCCTCTCCCCATCGTCTCCTCCTTTCCTAGTCGCCTCTGAGGCCTCGCCATGCCCCAGGGACTCGGCGGCAGCGGCTTCCGGGGCGTCGGGAGCGAAATCGCTGTCCTGAGCGGTGGGGGCGGGGAAGAGAAAAGTTGCGTGAGCGTCCTGCGGAGGGGGCCGGCTCGCGGGCTTCCGCGGGGATCGCTGTGCGGTTTCCACTTTCCCTGCTTCGTGGGAGCCCCCAAAGCCCCTGGGACCCGGAAGACGCTCGATCGGCAAGGGGGTTAGTGTGAGGACTTTTTTTTTTTTTTTTTTTTTTTCATCCCAGCACACTTTTCAAAATGTGACCTGACTTTGGGCTGGGGTAAAAGCCCAAAGACCGAAAACAGTTGGTCGTGAATCATTCTTTCCCTTTGACTTTGATGTTCGAAGCTTGAGCAAGATATGTGATCCAGAGAGTCTTAAAATGTAATGTCAAATATATCTGCACACATAGGGGGGGTTTTGTACTTGGTGTTTCGATAACGCCTTCACAGTCGTCAGACTTTTTTTTTTTTTTTTAAGGCATTTGATTATGGGGAACGATAAAGGCAGTCAAAAGTAGGAAATAATATATATAATGAACACTTACGTTGTGCATACTGCTTGGGTCAGCGCTTATCAACCCAACCAAATTTGCCTAATTTACACTCTTTCCAGTCCTTTCATGTTGGAAAATCACTCATGTTATTTCAATTAGTATTTTCAGTGTGTGTTTTTGAAAGCCAGTTTCTCTCTCTCTCTTTTTTTTTTTTTTTTTTTTAAAAAAAAAACAGTTTTGTTACTCAGTAAGTAACTCCTTAGTATCAAATATTTATCTGTAGACTTTAAACTTTCAGCAGTGAGTGCTTTGTGATTTTAGGACCATTTGTTCAATGAGTTTTTCTGATGTTAGCCTAAAGGACCTTAAGTCCAGAGTTTTGGTTTGGCTTTTAGTCAGCATTTTTAGGTGATTACCATGGAAGTATATCCAAAACATTTCAGCATTTTGGTGTATATGTAAATGTAGGGCTGTAGTTCTCAGCTTTACATCATTGAAGAAATGAAATGACTTTATTTTGTTGTCTTTGGTAGCTACCCCAAATACTTAAGTTTTTTAAAAAAATTTAATGGAATACAGTAAAATAGTAGAACTTGTTAGTTTTACTTTCTGTAGTGGAAGGGGAAATCAGTCTCCCTCAGGAAAACTTTTAGTACAAATAGGTATGATGACTAATTTATTTTTTTGTCAAATTAGAATTGGCTTCTTAACAAGCCTTTGGGGATCCTCTACTGAGTATGTATTAAACTAACTTGGACAGTGATTCATTATAAGTTACATAAATATAAGTTAATAAAGGGAAAAAATGAAAAGTACATATGAAGACATTTAAAAGTATTGGTCAAAATAATTTTCATTGTTGTAAGTTTTGAAGTAATGAAAATCTATCAAGTCCCTAAGCAATTGTTCACTTCTTTCTAGTAACAGTTGATGTATTGATACTTAAATTATAGAAAGGGAAAGTGGCAGAAATGGGTAAAAATTGATTGTGCTTTAAAAAGTAGTGTAACATTAAAAAAAAAAAGTTTGACTCTTGATTTACTTCCCTGGAAAATTTTTTTGTCTTTGTGCCTGTTATTATGTAGATAAATCAATGAATTGATTTGTCATTTATAAGTCAGAGGAAAATAAAGGTGATGTATATCTGTTCCTGTAATAATTCATGGAGCAATGTAACGTGCTCAGGTTCTCCAGCTCCAGAAAATGACACTCAGCAAGTGGGCATAGTGCTACAGGGACAAAGAAGATAGAATAAGGATGGTGTCTTGCACTTGGGGAGATGGCCATCTAAGAAATTTTTTTTTTTTTAAGTCATGGCCCAAAGTGCTTTAGTCCAGCCATCAGAGTCTTCAAGGTTGGGTTAAAAGCTGTAGATACATGAGAAAACAGCACCATTTTCCTGACCTTTTTTCTTCATATGATAAGTGCTGTGAGTCTCAAAGAACTAAATTTAGTCAACTATTTGACATTTCTGAGATCCTGAAAAAAATTAACATTTTGTGCTTAAGCTTTTTTATTAGGGTAATTACCTTATTCAGATTACTTTTAAGGTAAAAATGATGTTTATGAGAATAGTAAGTTTTGGAAATGTGAAAAAATATTCCACTGTAAGTTGGTTTTGTGGATATTGTATTAGAAGTTGATTATCACTCAGTTTTTAATACTTTGCAAGTCATGTTATTAGTATGTATTCATTGGTAATATCAATACATGGAAGCATGTAAAGTGAAAAATGAGTCTGTTTATCTTCCATTCATTTATTTGGTTGTTTATTCTTTGTGGTACTAGGGATTGAACCCAGGTGTTGACATGGAGCTACATCAGTCTTTTTTCTACTTTGTTGCCTAGGCTGGGCTTGAACTTGTGATCTTTCTGCCTTAGCCTCCCAGAGTACTGGAATTACAAGCCTACACCACCACACCTGGCTTATGTAACCATTTTTAAAGGTTTGTATGCTGAATGTTGAAAAGACATGAGGGGAGAATTCATAGGTTTGTATTTTTACATGCAGTGTTTAATACTTGTTAAGTATTTAGTGATTATATATTTTCTTAAATTCTTTTCACAGGGAATATGAAACAAGTGTCAAAATGACATCCAGATTTGGGAAAACATACAGTAGGAAAGGAGGCAATGGCAGTTCAAAATTTGACGAAGTCTTTTCCAACAAACGGACCACCCTTAGCACAAAATGGGGAGAGACCACGTTTATGGCTAAATTAGGGCAGAAGAGGCCCAATTTCAAACCAGATATCCAAGAAATTCCGAAGAAATCTAAAGTAGAAGAGGAAAATACTGGCGACCCTTTTGGATTTGATAGTGATGATGAGTCTCTACCAGTTTCTTCAAAGAATTTAGCCCAGGGTAAGGGCTCCTACTCAGAGTCAAGTGAAGCAGTGCCACTGGAGGAAGTTATTTCAGTACTTGAAGCTAACAGCAGAACTGGGCCCGTGGTAAGGGAAGATGGCATTGTGTCTGCTTCGAGCTCACCTTTGGAGACTGCTCTGCCTGGGAAAGAGAGGGCCGCAGACAGACTCCTGGAAGATGAGGCGAGCAGAAGTAGCTGTGCTAAATTAATGGCTATGGGTAAGTTTACACTTTCTTCATGTCAAGCCAAGAGAGCTTTTTGCAAGCCATTATGTAAATGATGTACGTTTGAAAATATTATATCACTTAGGTTTGCTTTCTGCAGTTATGATCAATGGAGACTGTTGACAGTTTTGTATAAGATTTCAGAACTTTAAAAAAAAATCAGAAGCTGAAATTTTAAGTAAGCAACTTGAATATTATTGTTTCTAGCCTTATCACTTCAGGTATATTTGGGTACTGTCTTCCATAAATCCCTAAGCCCAATTTTAGTAAGAAACATGTTTCTGTTGTGTTAGGGCTGCGTATTGTCTCATTTGTCTTACTATAGAGCAGTGATGGTGAACCTTTTAGAGACAAGTGTCGAAACTGCAACCCAAAATCCACTTATCACAAAGAGCCGATACTGCAATTAAACCTGAATTACTGAGGTTTTGGTTTAGGAAAAACAACTCATACATTAACACCATTTGTCTTAAAAGAAAAATAACTTGCATGCCATAGGTTCGCCACCACTGCTGTAGAGGACTTAAGTGGTTCCTGGTAATGACACTGAAGGTTAGCTAGGAGTGCTAGAGTTGAAAAACTGGTTTAGAAAGATTAAGGAGGTATTAGCAAGCTTTATTGAAAATTTATTTGCTAAATATTCCTTGTCAGTGTGGCTTCTGGTATAGCCTCAAAAGTGTCTGGTCATTGTACCCCCACCTGCTTGCGTGAAAGGTCTGGGCTTACAGTAAACGATAAAGGGACAACTGGCTCAAGGATGGAGGCTGAAGAGCATGTTGGGTGGGGAGAGTACGAGCACCCCATTAGCTAATGGGTGAGAGCAGCTGTTCTGGTTGAAAATACACCTTCGTTCTGGATTTCTTGACGAAGATTAGTGAGACTGGAAGGCTCACTCTCATATTTTGAAAGGAAGTAAGGACAAAACTTCCCTAGTGCTGCATTCATGGAAGGAGTGACTTTGGAGCTCCGTACAAGGCACAGGCAGCAGTGTCTTGGAGTGTGCCTTGCAGAGGATGAAAGGGCTGAGCGTTTTTCGCTCTCTTCTCTTGGTTGAGAGGGTGAGCCAGCTGTTACTGTCATTCCCTTGATCCTCTGGGCTAATTCTGAGCTGGCTGTCCCTATTGCTCTGCCCACATGGCTTCTGAAGCATTGTTCATGTGTTAAACCAAGGTTGAATTATTAAAAACCAGCATAAATCTTTCCTGGTCAGTTCCTAAAAATGCAGTATAATCATAGAACTTTTGAGCTACCTTGAATTTTAACTCATCTCTTCATTTCCAAGTTGAGACTCAAAAGAGCTTAAGTGACAGTCTGGGTGTGAGATTCACTGGTTGCTTTTCAGCATGTTTTTGAGTCCCATCTCTGGCTGGCCCTGTGTTGGGCTCTGAGAATACTGTTACAGCTGATCTATGCAGTGTTCTTGCTGCCATTCCTGGATCTTCACAGGTAGTTAATTTGCAGTGTGGGACAGATAGGCAGGAGCCAGTAGAGTGGAGCTGGCCATGTGATGTGAGCGGTGAAAGATGGGCACAGTTGGTAGCTGAGGCCCAGGTGGCTGAGGGTACTGTTAGGGAGGTATGTTTAGGGAAGAGGACAGGTACATGGTGCTTACATAGTCACAGGCAGTGAGTGCTTCCATAGCTTTGCCAATGAAACATTTTCACCTGTCCACACTGCTGTTGGAAGGTGGTGGGAGTTGCAGCTAGGCTTTTCTGTGTGGTGACAGCTCCCTCCCACCTTTTTTTTTTTGAACTGGGGATCTAACACGGGACCTTGCACTTGCAAGGCAGGCGGCAGACCACTGAGCTAAATCCCCGGCCGACAGCTTCCCATTTTGTTGTAGTGGCATTGTAGTTCCAGTGCTGATCCTGAAGGCTGACCATGAGTCCACACTCCATTCTCATGGGTTTGTGAGGAGAGAGTGTAGACTGAAATACAGATAAATGTGTGTTTAAGAATATCTTGTCCCTTGGGCCAGGGATTTAGCTCAGTGGTTCTGCCGCTTGCCTCACAAGCACAAGGACCCGAGTTCAAGCCCAAGTACCAAAAAAAAAAAGAATATCTTGTCCCACATCCTCCTCCATGGAGATGCCCTCAGCTGGGAAGGGAATCATGTGGCACTGGGGATCTTTCTTCTTTTATAATCTCTTCTCTCTTGGTCATCCAGAGCTCCAGCAACCCTGGCAGCTCCCTGTAGCATAAGAAGCAGACTTTGAGGAACTGCTTTTAGTTTTCAAGGTAGTCTTATTTTGTCCCAAATGTGTGCAAGTGTGCAAGTCAGTTGTTCTTATAAGCCATTTATAAGCACATACATATGTAAGTCAGTCACTTTTATACTTTATACCTTTTTTTTTTTTTTTTGCAGCACCGGGGATTGAGTTACAAGGGCCCCCCCCATAAATTTTCGCCAAGCTGTCCTGGCTGGGCTCAAACTTGAAACCCTTCTGCCTCAGCCTCCCAGAGTGCTAGGATTACAGGGGTGAACCGACACAGCTGGCTTGCTTCTATATCTTATGACCTTTTCTTTGTCTCTTTCCTCTCACTAAACATCTAGCATTTCTTTTGTGCCTAGATTCGAATCTTGCTTGTCTGTCAGATTGTCATTGCCTTCACTCTCAGAAAGCCTTGTCATTTTAGAAATAATATGTTAAATTAGGAGTATTATATTAAGTTCCTAATGCTGTGTTACGTTTAGGAATCTGCATCTAAGCTTTTGAGAAGAGTTTTATAAATCTCAAGTGGTTCCTAATCTTTTTTGAATTAGAGACCCTTTTGGAAGATGTTAATTGGAGGTTCTTTCTCCAGATAAAAGCGATTGTATACCTATTCTGGGCTTAGAAATCTCAGCAGTCCTCAGCAGATCATGTTCAGGTGCTTTAAGAACCTGTTAAAGCTGGGCGTGGTGGCACATGCCTGTAAGCCCTACACTTGGGAGGCTGAGGCAGAAGGATCATTGTGAGTTGGAGACCAGCCTAGGCTACATAGTGAGTTCAAGGCCAGTCTGAACCACATAGCAAGACCCTGTCTCAAAAAAAAAACAACAAAAAAGACAACCCTGTTAGACATTGTATCAATGACTTGTTCAGAATGCACAGGTTAAGTTCCATCATGTCTTTCGTGGGAGACAGATCATTTGTTGCTGTACAGTTCTGCATTGGGGAGAAGGCTTCTTCAAACTCAGAACTATTTTGTTGTTTTTACTGGCATCACATTTTTAAGTTTTTTTTCTCTGTAGGGGAATAAGTGACTTTTTTTGTCCTTTTTACTAAACTGTTCTATCCCATTCAGGTATCATTTTTCCCCCCCTTTCAATATGTCTCCTCTTGGAGCATATTGATTTTATAAAGTGTTAAGCTTTATTATTGCATTTGATGCACACAGATGACATTGTCACTCCCACTCCCATGACACTAGAAAGCTGTCTCCATACTATTGAGGTGTTGCGTTGGAAAGTTGGGGCAGTTCAGAGAGGAGACTGAGAATGAGGGGTGAGGGAGCATCCTGGTTTGCACTCTCCAAGCAGGTGCTTGGAGCCTAAGAGAACCCACAGCAAGGTGAGGTGGGTGGGCTGCTAATACCTGACCCCTAATTTAAACAAGAAGAAGGAAGCTGTTATAGTAACTTTCAGATATGTGAAAATAGAATAATAGTAAAAGAATCTTATGTGATTCAGCAGTCATCAGGACAGGACAAGTCTTGTTTGTTCCATACACCAGCCCCCCTTTCTTCCTTTTGTCCTTACCCCCTTGTAATGATGGATTTTTTTTCCTCAGTGCTGGGAATTGAACCCATTGGCTTTGTGTTTTCTGCTAGGAAAGCAGCTATGCCCCTGAACTTCATTTTAGTTTTTTTGAGACAATCTTACTAAGTTGCTCAGGCTCACCTTGAATTTGAGATCCTCCTGCCTCAGCCTCTTAAGCCATGGAATTACAATATGTGCCACAACGCCCAGGTCCCCTGAATTATTTTAAAGCAAATTCAAGACCTCTATTTTCTACTTTCTTTTTTTTTTTTTTTT